GTGTAAGTGGCGCTACAAGACATTTACATGTCGTCATAGCAACTACTCAAACAGTAGATCAAGTGACCACAGATTTAAGATCTGAGGAATTCAAAAAGGAAATCAAAATTTATCCAAAAATCAGCGGTGCTTCAATTGTCAATACCGATGAAGGTCAAGCAAGCAGAATCGAGGAGGCAGGCAGTTACAAGCTCAAGATAGATACAGAATCTGCAGCAGCCATCAAAAAAGTATACTACATTTTCACCGATAATGACCAAGCTGCTCTTGGAGATCAAGATATTGATGGTAATAATGATAAAATTAAGAAATTCACAGAAGACCAAATTACACGCAAGGAATGATACATCACAGTAGATGTTAGTGGTGTAAGTGGCGCTACAAGACATTTACATGTCGTCATAGCAACTACTCAAACAGTAGATTAAGTGACCACAGATTTAAGATCTGAGGAATTCATTAAAATCATATTTGGCAATCATGAGCATCCAACTATTAATTTAATTCAAACTCCTGAAAAAGTTTATTATAAAATTCCTGATACAATTGTCTTGCCAATCACAATCGATTTTCCAAGTTCAAATCAAGGATATTCGATTCGTGCTGCTAGGCAGACTTCCAAACCAGATTCTCTTTCTGGATACAATTTACATGTTCAATTTACTGAAAATAAATATTCAATGCAAATTCCCGATACAATCAAAGCCTCCGACTATGATCCGATATTTGTTGCTTTAATTTTTGATCATTCAATTGTTTCTGAACAAAAAATTGATAATATTATAATTTGTGCCCCTCCAACCATTTCAGATTTTAAAGATATGAATTCTGATAAAAATGTTAAATATTCAGCTGATCAATTAATCAGTCTTCCATTTAAAGCTGATGTAGTAGAAGATGATGCCTCAAAGGCTTCTCCGATGTATCAAATTAACTCTCAAACACCAGAACCTGCTTTGTTAACTAAGAATGATGATGGATTTTATCAATTTACAATCAAAGCTCCATCCGAAATCCCTAATAACCAACAAATCACAGTCAAATTATCTATTAAAGATCCTGCTGGACAAAAAGCAGAAAAAGCATTAAAGATTGATGTTAAACAGTCGCCATACATAACAGAATCACCAGATAATTCTGAAGTTAAAGAAGCATATAAAGCAGAAGAGCCAATCGTTGTTATTATTCAATTCAAGCATTTTGAGGAAAGGACAGGAAAATTCGAATATAAATTCTATGAAGATCAAAGTTATATTCCACTTCCTGAAAAGAATGTTAAAGAAATTTCTAGCGGTTCGAGTACATCTTCTAAGAAGCTCCTAGCTGATGATGGCAAAACATATCAACTTACCATACCAGCTCCTAAAATCGATGAAATTAGAGATTCAGAAGAAGCTAAGCTTCGGATCAGAACTGCTCAATCCGATGAACAACCACCTTCAAATGTCTTCTCTAAAGAGATTAAACTTGAGAAGACAAAATATGTTTCAGGAGAACAACCAAATCCAACATCATCTCCTTCTAAGGGAGGATTATCTGGCGGCCAAATTGTAGGAATTGTATTTGCCGTTCTTCTTGGCATTGTTATTATTGTACTTATTGTCTATTTCATTTTCTGTAAGAAACCATCAAATGATAGATCTTCTTCTGATATGAAAGAAGATTCTGGTTCTGGTGTATATGTTTAACTTCATTGATCTTTATATTTATATTTTTTGTAAAAGCATTTTTCTTCTATAACTAAAAGCATAATATTATCAATTGATTATTGTATCACCTGACAGAAAATGTTTTAATTAGTTGTGTCTGTTTCTCATATCTTAAAACAAGTTATTAAAATACTTTGTCTTAAGCAAACCTAATAATGCAGTCCACCGTTATAATCTATAGATCAGGCAAATAGAATTATAGACGGTTTTAAAATTAAATTTCTTGAATGCTAATCAGCATTTATGGCGAGTTTATATTATATTTCAACTATAGATATTAGTCACTACCACAAAATATCATATCACAGATTTTTTATGCATATTCAATTTAAAATAATCTTTATTTGATAATACGAATAAAACTACTATAGTTTTCATCTAATCTATTAATGATCTCTCTTAGATCATCGATAAAATTAAATCTAAAATATTTTTCATTGATTCCCAATAAAATCAGTTTAGCCTAAGGGAGTTTGCTTTCGCATTTCTATGTTGATTACTTTCATTTATATTATTCATGAAATTACAAAAATATTCCTTGATATAATTTGCCAATTCTTAATTAAATGTTAAGTACTTCCTACATATCAAGTTTGAGCACAAGCTTGTTAAATTTAGGAACATGACTGATATTTATATATAATTTTGCCAATTTGAAGTTTACAATTTGTAAAGTGTCTCCAAACTGAAGTTTAGAGTTGGAGAAGATTTTTCTCCATACGAGATCCTTAACCTAAATACTGATTCTTCATACCCAATTTGAATCATTCGAGTAATTTACTTCAAAAACTTCAAAAATAAAATCATTTATATAAATGTTTGCTGAGAATTCTTTAAAATACATAACGTCAAAAATCTTTAGAAAAAATTTAATTTTGAGTTGCAATATATTATTAATTCTTGTTTGAAAATAAATATATGATAGTTAGGAAAATATGAAATACATAATATAACATGAAACTTTTCAACGGAGAAGAATTCAGAAAGTTTTCTGAAAATGATTTTCTAGATTTATCATTGATCGAAGAGAAGAATAATTTTAATATTGAATTCCAAAAATTAAAGAGTAGGGGTAATTTTAGCTAAAAGTGACACGCCTGTAAAAAGTGACACACCCATGAAGGGTGTGATTACCGATCGGTAATTTCGACAGTTTAGAATTTAAAATTTTTTATGGAACTGTTGCGAGTTTCATAAAGAATTTAAGGAATATAAGCAAAGATTTGAATCAAAATCTTAGACCTAAGCCGCTCGATTCGCTCGCGGCTTCCGCGAATTACAGATCAGCAAAGATTTGAATCAAAATCTTCGAACTAAGCCGATCGCTTCGCTCGCGGCTTTCTTTATTATTTTAAATTTGCATATTTCCATCAAAAGTTCATAAGGTAAAAAATTTCGTTTATTTTTACTAAGAAAAAAAAAGGTTTTTGATAATAAATTTATTTTATTTCGAAAAAGTAGCAATAAAAAAAAAAAAAAAAAAAAAAAAAGGTAGTGGGGCTTCCAGGCACTTCGTGCCTTCTAGCCCTGAGGATGAATGAGTATAATGAAGTTTTTATATATACGGGTCTTCCAGGAGCTTTTCACAAATTATATATGTTTTCATGTTTTGTCATGATTTCATCGTAAATGTTTTGTCAAGACTTCTTCTTCGTAAATGTTTTGTCAAGACTTCTTCGTAAATGTTTTGTCATGATTTCATCGTAAATGTTTTGTCAAGACTTCTTCGTAAATGTTTTGTCAAGACTTCTTCATCGTAAATGTTTTGTCAAGACTTCTTCGTAAAATCAGACAAAAATAATGTTTATGTTAGAATGTTAGATCTAACACGTTTTCTAACATGTTTTCTAACATCGTAGAAAACTCATGATTTCATCGTAAATGTTTTGTCAAGACTTCTTCGTAATGAGCGTAAATGACCCAAAAATAATGTTTATGTTAGAATGTTAGATCTAACACGTTTTCTAACATGTTTTCTAACATCGTAGAAAACTCATGATTTCATCGTAAATGTTTTGTCAAGACTTCTTCATCGTAAATGTTTTGTCAAGACTTCTTCATCGTAAATGTTTTGTCAAGACTTCTTCGTAAAATCAGACAAAAATAATGTTTATGTTAGAATGTTAGATCTAACCTCTTTTCTAACCTCTTTTCTAACCTCATGAATTTTCATGAACTTTCTTTACAAAGTCTTTACGATGAAGAACTTTACAAAGTCTCAACAAAACATTGACAAGAAAGTTCATGAGAAAGACTTTACAAAGTCTTTACGATGAAGAACTTTACGAAGAAATCTCAACAAAGTCTTTACGAAGAAGTCTTGACAAAACATTTACGATGAAATCATGAAAATTCAAGAGGGTAGAAAACATGTTAGAAAAGAGGTTAGATCTAACATTCTAACATAAACATTATTTTTATTGAATTCCGTATGAAATTTCATGAGTTTTGTATGTTTTAGACCATGTTAGAAAAGAGGTTAGAAAAGAGGTTAGATCTAACATTCTAACATAAACATTATTTTTATTGAATTCCGTATGAAATTTCATGAGTTTTGTATGTTTTAGACCATGTTAGAAAACATGTTAGAAAACATGTTAGATCTAACATTCTAACATAAACATTATTTTGGGTCATTTACACTCATTACGATGAAGAAGTCTTGACAAAGTCTTTACTGAAAAAGTGTCATATAAACATCTGTCAAAAACCGCTTTTAACTTCACTTAAAATGCCACGTAAGCTACGTAAGAATATACGTATTGAAACATCCAATAGTAAAACTAACACCACAACAACAGTTGCAACAACAAATGCTGAATGACCCCACTATGTTGCAACAAATGTCAAGCAACCCTATGCTTTTAAACCGAGTCATTGGTGCACAGAGTGAGGTTTAAGAGCGGCACTTTTAGCGAAAATGGCAGGCTATGGTGGAGCTGCAGACGGAACAGCCTATAACCCTCAAAGTCAAATGAATTTGAGTTCACTCAAAAATCAAATAACAGATGTCAAAAAGTCAAACATAGACATACAGAAGCAAATAAGTGAAAACGAAAAGAAACTAGAATATGACAGACACACAAAGAAACTCAATGAGTTAAACGTAGAGAAAAAGAAGAAAGAAGAACAACTGAAAGAACTAAGTACAGAGGAATATGCAAAAAAGTGTCAGAAAAAGCAGCAGAAGTAGCAAAAATGGAACAAGATGTTATAAATTTGAAAAACCATACTACTCAATATAAAATACTGAAAGATGAAGAGATAAAACAAAAAGCCCTGAAGACATATATGGATAGCGATGAGTATAAAAAAGAAGTTGAAGCAAATGTAAAGGCAGAAAAACTTTTACAGTTGCAAAACCAAACCGTACAGTATGAAAACTTAGCACAAGAAAGTAAAAATAACGACGCAGCCATGCAAAAGGCAATGAAAAGCGCAGAATATATAAAAGCTAACAATGACTGGTTAGATGCCCAAGCCAACGCTAAAGCAGCCCAACTCATAGGGTCAATAAGGACAAAAATACAAGCGGATGAAGACAGTTCAAATGAAACTTTAACAAATGCTGACTTTAAGAACGCCTTCGAAGCTCTTCATAGTAAGGTGAAACAAGTGAACGACTTCTCATCTGGAAAGAAACTGAAGTCTGAAGGTTTCGACAAAGAGTTAAAAGAAGTAGCACAAAATATGACGAAAATAACAGATGCAGCAACGAGACAGGCAGTTCAAAGTGCCTATGACGCCGTTAGAGCAACTGTTGTGAAAAGTCAAGAAAAAGAGTTACAACAGACCAAAACAGACCTAGTAAATGCTTTCTTAAAAACGAAAAGTCAGGTAGGACATTACGCTGCAGATGGAACATATGTGCCAGCTGGTGGAACTTATATACCACCAAACCCTCCAAGAGAAGCACCTGCACCAGGACTACCTAAAACATTTACATCGTCACATGGACATAGACACAGGCATGCACCAAAACCAACACAACAACCAACACAACAACCAGCACAGCAACCAACAGTTCAAAACCCTGCACAACAACAACCACAAACAGAGCAAGGACATAAAAGAAGTAGAGAACAAGGAAACCAAGAATTCTTAAAAATGCTTAAAGAAGAGTGTGGTTTCCCAGATAGTATTGACTTTAGTGACAGATATAAAGAAGCTATTGGAAAGTTCAAGGATGGAAATACTGACCCGAACCTATTTAGCTTTATGGCTCAGCACCAAAACGGATATAATCTCAAACCTGGAAAATACAAGCTCGCTAAGGGATATGATTTAATAGCATATCATCCAAATGACATGAACGAATTTACTCCGAGATATTTGATGTCAGAGCTAAATGACAATTCAACTTTCGTCATGAAACGCGTAAAAAATAGAGACGGAACGAAAGAACAAAAGCTTATGAATGCGGATGACGTAGATAGGGAAATTGTTGAAAACGGTCTCGGAATATATGAAATGCCAGCAGATGAGGTACAAGAAACTCCACAGGAAGAAGTTCAGATACAACCAGACATGGAAGAAATAGTTCAGCAACAACAGCTAGAAGAGCCTGAAGGAAACGAACAAGTCCCTCCTTTGGAAACTAACTTCACAGAACCAGATGAAGATTTGGAACAGCCGAAAAATCTTGACCCTCAACAAGTGTATGCGGAGAATATGGAATCTTTCCAAGAGTCTAAGAAAAATTCGGCTGACATAGTAGAAGAATATCGAAAAATGTTCGCCGACATACAAAAGACTCCAACATCAGATGAAAAATATTCAGCAAAGAATGGAAGAACTGAAAGAAAATGTACGCAAATACAACAATCCTTTTTACTTACGAGCATTTAACGTTCAATCTTCGGATGAACTCGGTGAAAATAAAAGGTTAAATTTCAAGAAAACATATAGAAATGAAACATTGTTTAAAGTTCATTCAGAACCTAACCAAGATGGAAACAAACCTACTTTTGTTTCTGCAGACGATGGAACTACAATGAGATGGGGTCATAAAGCTAATCCGGATAGGGGTTCATAAACTTACAACCTCAATTCCAAGAAGTTGTAGACGCAATGGAAGCGAATGGTGAACGAGATATAGCTGGTATTTTCAGCGCGGCTTTAATGCCATTGAAAGATATGAAACATGCAGATATTTTGGACCAGTATGAAATGAACATGGCTGATGGAAATATAACACCTGACGTTCTAGAACATTTATCTCAAAGAACTACACAGAACCATAGAGATGGTATATTTGGTGAAGAGTTTAGAAAGAAAGTTAGGGAGAGCGAAGGAAGAGAACCTATTGTACATGACCTTGCAAACGAAAGTTTACAAAATGTCATAAAAACTTACTTTGCAGACAATGAACTGAGAAGGATGAATATTTAAGAAAACTCAAATGGACAGTACCAGATGAAATGTTAGTATTGAAAAACATGTTCCTTGACAAAATAAAACCAACTACAGAAATAAACGACGCAAGACTGAAAGATTGGGTAGAAGCTTTCCCATTCACAAAAGATATAGTTGGTAACATGGAAAGAAAACCAGAATGGCTACAAAAAACATATATTTGGAAACGAGCATATTCCATATGGACAGGCACTGTTTGAAGAGCTTGAACCGGAAACTCAGGAAAGAGTCATGCAAACAATACGCGAAGACTCAAATACAGACTATGACAAACTCTTTCTAGGATATAGGTTACCTGAGATGGGCGACCAGAGCCAAAAGGCAAAAAGGACATGGAAATTGCAACATACTAATGAACATAATGCAAAGATGCAACAACTTCAAGCAGAGGGCAATGAAGGAAAAAGAAGAGTTAAAAACTCAGTCAGGAAGAAAGTAAAGCTTGGTCCACGTGGTTCTATTATGACATATAAATCCAACTATTCTATATTTTTACTCATATGAAATGTACGCCGCTCAGAATATAACGCCAACAGTTTGGATGCTATGAATGGAAATGTTTCCGAATGGTATAACGAATGCGACAATGCCATTAGAAGGTCAGAAATAGTTCCTGGAACTTACGAATATACAACTGCTGTTTCTTATGGAAACGTAGGTGAGTTTGGAGAAGGTTCTTCAACAACAGTAGATATTGCATGCGACAGGTTTCATATTATTTCTATTGACAACTCATTCTTATACGTGGAACAAGACATTGAAATAAAACCTTCTGCCAAGTTGTCTGACAAGAAAGGTTGCAATGGAATTTTCTATGTCGGATACCAATATGCTCCAGAAGTTTTCATGGGATATAAGATATATTCTAACTCTGACTTAGTTCAAACAGTAACATGGGCAAACTATGAATGGTTCGCTTTGAGAAACTCAGTACAACCACAAGCTAGAGAACAAACAGACCAGTATGCAACTATTGAGAAAATAAGAAGACTTGACCCTAACGTTCCAGGAGTTTATGTTGACCTTTCTGGACAAATGCAGCAGCAGTAACAAAGTAAAATTGAAACTTAGAGTTCCTTTGTCATCTTTCCTCATCTTCAGGTTTTTAAGATACTTGCCAAACTGGGCAGGAAAAATTTCTATTGAACTTACTCCAAGCAAAAATAACTTAGTCATTGCACCAACACAAGACCCATTCACTCTTACAGACGTAAAGGAGCAAATCAAACGTCATTCGCCGACTTTTGCAAAGACAAAGTTGACTTAGACTTTGGTTTCTCAAACTTCAACACTGAAGTAAACTATTATTTCAATGCTGCTGGAACTGCTTGGGACCCAGTTAAGTTTACATGCGAAAAGTTTGAATGCAAGAGAATAGAAAGCAGACTTGCAGTCTATATGTTGGACCCAGATATTTCAAATGCTTTAGCTGCCAAATATATTGCAGTTCCACTTATGTTCCCTATACACCAAATATCTGTCAAAGACTTTGCAGGTGAAGTTGGAAACCAAAGTGCTGACCCAGGTGCAAGAACAGATATTGCTTTAACAACTGCAATGAAACATGCAGATACTATGTTTGTACTGTTCAGACGAACTATAAATGACTATTCTTGTTTCTACAACCCCGGTATTAATATCATATAAACATAGATGGCAAATATTATCCAAGAGAAGAATATTCTACAGTTGAGGATATGAGGTCATACAACTTGACATTAGATGCTATGAACTTTAACAACAACTTCACAACAACCATTAACCCTGAAATGCAAAGTTCTATTATGCCATATGTGAAAGTATGGACCCATACAGGAGCTCAAAAAACTCAATATACAAATAGAGACCGTTCAAACTTTTGGCTTGGCATTCCATTTGCTGACTCGGAAGACTTTATGGGTGGTATTTCAACTGTTGGTACAGTTCAAATACAATATACTGGTGACAGAGACGGTCCAGATGAATTGAAAGCAAAGAAGTTTACAAAACCAATAGCACTTTTCACGGAAGATGCTCTTTTGAAGATTCGTTCGATGAAACCTGCTGGGGCTCCTCAGATTGGTATAACGACAGCTTCCATCGAGCAGATTTTGGCAGCAGGTCAGTAAGTTGTTCTTGAACTGACTTCTCTCCGTCAAATATTGACAGTACGCCAGTTTTGACATAGTATTGTAAGATAAACTTACCTTTAGAAATATCGGTCAGTTTTGTTGTTATATTTTTGTCAACGTCAAGAACTTTCACCATCTCAGTTATACCAACTTTCTTTGCTTTATGAAAATATTTGGTTCAGCAAAGACTACTATTCTATAACATTTCCATTGTTTGTGTAAAAACTATTCTGTCAATGTATTTGTATTGTTTGTGAGTATAAACTTTGTTTGCTTCAATTCGAAGAGATACTCAAATACGTCCATCTTTTTATTCTAAGTAAAATGTCATTTCCGAAAAATAGAAGCGTAAGTGTTTCAAAAGGTTTAATGGCGGTGGCAGATGTGAAGTTAAATTCACCAACTCAAACAAACAGTCAAAGTGTTGTTGTCAATGTCAAAGAAGAGATGTTGAATGGGGAAACCATACGAGACGAAGATGGTATAGCAATTGTTCCTGTAAAAGAACAACCAACATACCCTGAAGTTAGCAGAACTTAAGTTCTGTTGCAGATATTCGAAATGACTACCAACAACTTAAAGACAAACTTAAAACTCAGGAGAAGATTTGTCAGGCTTTGGGTATAATGTTAAACTTGGTGAGCACAACCCTGTAAAGTGACTCATATGTCATTGCACCTCATGAGTCTTGAAAGAACTATTGAAACTTTTGACAGAGGCAGACGATATAAACATCAAGAAATGAACCCGACATTGCTTGCTGTGGTGTTTCATAATGTCATTGAAAGATATACGTTATGAAAGGAGGTAAACGTTGAACTTAAAATATAGTTTCCCAGACGTCATAAAAATATTTGCACAAACATTTCATTAAAATTATTTGCTAGTAAATGGCAGAAGATATAATGGTTTATACTATTACGACTAAAACCCTGAGTCATATAATTCTATAACAACAAACTTACAAAGTCCTCAAGGACGATATTGTAAACTGACCTTAAACACAATGACGACTAAAGCCTGTTTTGCTCTTTTGACACCAGAAGACTTTGTTGTTGTGAATGGTAAAAAATACTTCTTTGAAGATACTTACTCAGATATACCACCAACAGGTTTTGTTGACTTATTTAATACTTTAAGTACAGGTGTAACATGTGCTGCAACTAGAGCAGGTTTCATTATGTTTGGATGTCCGACTGAGTTTACTATTAATGATATGAGCTATAATACAAAACTTATATCTGGGTTTTTTACTACCAACAGTTTCCTATAACAGGAAAAGGTGTCATACAAGGAATGTCTATTCCATTGACTTTAAGCACACCTATTTTATATATTGTTTCAAACTTAGGTTCAAAGTGTTATTCGAATGTCGACAGAAACTATTATGACCAAAAGATACTCATGCGTATAAACAATACTTTCTCTGCTGGTTTGCCTATTGTTCATTCGAATGCAGAATTTTCAACCTTAGTGAACTCAAACACTTTGGCAAGTATAACGTTGACATTAGTTGACGCAAACTTTGTTCCTGTAAAACTTTTATGTCCTATGTATTTGTCAATGACGGCAGAAAGTTTCGAATTGGAAGATGCAACTGGTGAAAGTATTGTACTACAAGAACAACTTCAACAACAAATAGCTCAAGAACAACAAATGCAAAAATGGAACAACAAAGTCAAGAATAAAAAATATTATTTTTTTATTTTTATAAAAATGTACAGAATAGATGTTTCAGATTTTTATGACTTCCAAGCATTCAGAAATATGTGTCCATTTAGAGACTATAACAAAGCAGTCGAGAATTTGAAACGTTTAGTCATTTATGTCGACTCTGCCCCAGAATGTTATGTCATGAAAGAATGGGATGTAGTCTTTAACAAACCAAGAGCAACCATAGTTTCAGAACAAGAATGTAGACAGAAACTTAAGAAAATAAAAGTCGTACAAGTTGGTATGAAGATGTTAGATGCTTGGGATATCTTATTGTCAAAACTTGAAGATTTTTCAGTTCGTGGTATAAAGTTCTATACACCTTCTCCAAACTTCTATTCTATCTTCACTGGATATAAATACGAACAAGTAGAATGGAAAGAAAATATTATAGAAGCTTGGTTAGACCATGTCAAAGAAATTATATGCAATGGAACGAAAGAGTCTATGAGTATATCTTATGTTGGTTTGCAAACATCTTACAACATCCAAGTGCTAAAAATGAAACTGCTCTCATTATAATTGGAAAACAAGGAACAGGTAAGAACACATTCTTTACAGATATTTTGTGCAAACTATTAGAAGGTTATTCGAACCCTAATATGACAA